TTAGAGACCTAGGTAGATGGGATGAGTGTAACAGATGCGAAAACTTGAAACTTTGCGAGCCTTAATGAGAATCAAAAAGCAAGTACCCTATGTTTCTAAAGATAGCGTCCTTCATATTTTCTCAGTGGCTTTCAGCTGCTCAAAATGCGAACTAGAACTGCTTATCGCACAACCCACACGTGCTCGACATAGGAATTATATGTGCGAACCACGTGACGTGCGTAAGCAACGGACGTGCAGTTGCGCGGAGGAACAGGGCAACGAATTTCGAGTTTATCCTATTGTGCAACTCGATATCGAAGCAGCAGACTATGATTAACGAAGTTATCGTATTTGAAGCGATAAGCAGGAGCAAGGTTAAAGTACGCCGAGTAGATCTACCACTCGCGTAAGAGGTGCTCGTCGGCAAGGTTTCGGATCGGACCGCGTTTCAGTTCTACCAAATCACGATTTATCTTGCGAAAATAAAATTCTAACTTCTAACGATGAAGTACTAAAGAGGAATATTTTGCTCATTTGTTTTCAACTGGCTGACCTCCGGATCTCGGATCCCGGGCCGCAGATCCTCAGGCAATATGACTCTTAACGACTCGACCTCACCTCAGTCGACAAGCTTAACAGCTTATGGTTGAAGAATAACAATCCAGTGGCAGGTGGTGTAGCGCTTAGAATCCGATTTTTTTTATCGCGTTTCCGACTCGGGATACACAGGGAGAATAAACGGAACAAAGGATTGCAAGGCTGACCAGGCTAAACGCGCTCATTGCTGCCCCATTCGAGTAATAAAACAGAAAACCAAGACAAACTAAAAACTTTTTTTGACGCACGTTATGCGATTTGGCGCATAATGGCGCGAGGTATTGGCTGTGGCGCAGTTTCTGCAACATGGCGCAGGATGGCGCAGTCATATGCGTCTGGCACAAAATGGCGCAAATGGCGCAGCCGTTCCACCCCTGGTATACACTGTTACTTCGATATTAGCTCATTAGTCTCATCTGTGCACTATCATATACTGGAAGAAATGTTCAAAATCACCGCACGTATGTTGACCCCACAAACTTTATGTCACCATAGGGTCGCATTCAAAACTATTTAAACCAGGCAGACTCATGTGATATTGACATTTTCAAGAGAGATTTGTGTCAATTTAAAAAGTGCTTGCGCCATGTTTGCGGCTGATGTATGTATGTAGTCACTACTAAGTATTTTGTTCTATTTTGTTGTTTGCATTTCTTAGCTTTCTTATTTTTTGTTTGTATTCTTGTTTTGCTACTAAAGAGTGCACCAGTGCTTAGGCTCTGGCTGTTACTGGGCACAATAAGTAAAAGTATCATTATTATTACACTAAAAAAATGTAAACTATTGCTATCGGCTCCGAGCAGTGGTCGCACATAGGTTGAATCTCTCCATTTAGAAGATAGCCATAGGTGAGTTGCGTGTGGCCAATTCGCAGTCGATACACGACAACTGCCTAAAATCGTTCTTGGTGCCTGGCGCTACGTTATTCACTCAACGTGGGTTTAACAAAATGGAGCTTGTTATAGGGATCAGAGCCCCATTCAGCTTGCCATGAATGTTTTATTTGTTTCTGTAGAATTGCTCTATAGTCCGTGACTGGAATGCTGTCGAAGTCAACTGCTCTTTCTATGCAGGTGCTTGCAGCCTGGTCGGCTTCTTCATTACCGCCTATTCCAATGTGGTTAGGGACTCAACAGAACTCAATGACGGGTTTACTTTTTAGAGCATAGATTACCTTGTCTTGTGGTTGAGAAACAAGAGGGTACTTTTGCGACGTCACGGAGTAAGGGGCAAGAAGTGAACTGAGTGAGTCAGAAAAAATAATGGGATCTTTATAGTTACGCTTTGTTAGTTTGTTCATAGCCATTATCAACCCAAAAAAGCTCACCTGTAAATATAAAAGCGTAAGAGTTTATTTGTCTTACGGATTTGAAAGACTGCCCTACTGCTGCATAGCCAACATAACCAATGACCTTTGCTCCATCTGTAAAAAGTTTCATGTAGGTTGCAGGCTGTATAACACTGGGAGTAATCATTTTCTTATACTTTGTTAGTGGGAGCTAGTATGATATATCTGTGTCATACCAAGAAGCAATTCCAAGCTCAATTTCAAGGACTGGTAAGAAGAAATCGATAATGTAATCTTGCGCAGTGCTTTTTATGCGGAGTGCAAAAGGAGGAGCGACTGAAGGCGTATTTATGACGGTGCGCTCATACTTAGTACAGTAAACTCTCACTTGAACAAACGTCAGTTTAACAAATATTTTAGAATAACAAACCTTAAATAAATCCTCGGTGGTTTTCCCACGCATTTTATGCAAAAATGTTTCAGTTAAACAGAAAACGAATTTCAGAATAGTGAATATTCAAGTACAACGAACTTGATCAATGGACCTAGGATTATTTTTCCAATCAGTTCAACAAAGTTTTGTGCTCTGCAGTGCTGGCGTGGCGAATGCCCGCTTCCCCACCGCAGCGTATCTTCGCCGAAAAAACGAACCGCATGATGTGTGTTTTTTCTTTGTCATTGGTTCCGTTCAGCCATCTTAGTTTTAAATAGCAGCGGCAGGACGGCAGTTGGTGCGCCCACTTTCGTAATAAATACAACGATACGGAAGCAGTTCTCTCCATCAGACAAGCTCAAAAGCCTTCAGCATCTGGACAATGGTCAAAGGCAAGTAGACGTTGTGAAGGACAATAGGATTCCACCGTCGAAGTTGTCCATGGGCGCGTTAAGTCGGCGCTCCTTTACTCCTACTCCGACGCTCCGAGTTTCATACTCTGAGCGCAGCAACTCAACGGTGCATAGCGTACAGGAGTGCGACACACCGAGGCTGCGTTCAAACCTACTCGAATGGATCCGAGTTACCCTGGCGGATTAAGTCAAGTGACAACAAGAACAGAGAAAACTTGGACGCGGGTAGGTTTTCGATAACCACCTTTACCACAGATTTAGATCGAGCAAGTTTTGGAACACAGCCAGGACGGCCAGAAACTATCGACGGGCCACACAAGCTCCTTCCGACCATGGATACGGGTGCCACAAGCCGAAAATATTTCGAAGATAAATAATTAGGCCCACGTGGAGCGCCAAAGTCGAAAGCAAAAGAGACAGCGACGTTATGAAGTTTCTCTGAACATTTTAATATTCCTGAAAGGTTTGAAGACTAGCTTCGTGCACATATATGGAAGGTTACCTTGGCCGATCTATTTATTGATCATGCATGCTGTTCTGATTTAAATTAAAGACAATATTCCTGAACCCGCTCGTCGACGAAAGAAACTCAAATTTCTCGGAGATTCCCTGGTTCTGTCGGATTCCCTGGTTCCGCTACGAGACGGAAGCTATGCCGATAACGGCACACTGTCGTTCAATAGCACGTCAATTCGTTTGTAGACGGTATTCATGAACAAACCTTTCCCACAACACTAACTGTTGTTTCGGCTTTCCAATCAAAGTATCTTTATTCGCTGCGGCTGGGCGAAGCATTCTAAACAGGGCAGCGGTCTGACTGTCTTTTCATCACAACTGATTTGTCGCCGAGCTATCGGCACGCTCGTTCGATAGATCAATTTGTTTTCAGGCAAGATGCACGAACAAACCTTTTCCTCAACACTCACTGATGTTTCGGCTTTCAAATCGAAGTATCTTTATTCGCTGGGCTAAGCATTATTAAAGAGACAGAGTGGTCCAAATGTCTCCTCATCTCGGCAACTTTTCTGTCGATGTGCTTCGGCACGCTACCGTTTGATAAATGAATTTTTTTTCAGGCGAGATGTACGAACAAACCTTTTTTCGAAACACTAATTGCTGCCTTGGCTTTCAAATCAAATTGTTTTTACTTGCTGGATTAAGCACAAATCAACTAAAAAGGGGCAGCGGTCCGGCTATGCCTTTCGTCTCGACGGACTCAACAGCAGCGCAGCCATCTTGCTTGTTTACGTGACGTCACGGAGCGCCAAGAAGTCACTCGCGCTCCAAGAAATTCTCCGTGTACGAAGAGCGCGCTTGAGTGTCAGTCTCCGGTGGCACTCCTGCCCATTTAGTGAAAGGAGCGCCAAACTCTCGCGCTCCGGAGCACGGACTTAACGTGCCCATTGATAGTGAAGCAAAAGTCAAAGCTTGAAGGAGAATCTGTGCTCAATCCCAATAGGAAATGATTCTGCTTGGGATATTTCAAGCCAGTGGTCGATGCCGTTGCGGTATGGCTTCGTCACAGCAACAAGCTGTGCAAGAGGAAGTGCAAAAAAACATTCACTATCTGGACACCTTTTGTTACTTCATGCACTTTAAGAGTGCATGAGTGCATTCTTTCCAAAATGAAAAAGGTAGCAACATAACCATTATGCATTTTGTATATATCAATGTACATGGCTTCATAAATTGCATTCCCCACTTTTGACTCTATGTACGCTGTGCCCTATGTTGTTCCATGTTCTAGTGAATATATTCAGTTCAATGAACCTTCAGTTAAGTGAACTATTTCCTTGGGTCCCTTGAAGTTCGCTCAATTGAGGGTTTACTGTATTGTAAGTCAAAGAATAAGTAAAATATTGAGGATCCTTCAGGACATCATGATGTCCCGAAGGATGCCATACTGCCAAGCTGTGTCATAGGCTTTGTCAAGGTCAGAAAATACAGAAAGACAGAACTATCTATTTATGAATGTCTCATGAAAGGCTCTTTCAAAGCATATGAGACAGCCTACGGTACATCTATATGTGCACAAACCACATTGAAAGCTACTTAAAAAGCCCCTGAAAAGAAAGAAAAAAAAATTTTTTAAACAGTCTAGTTGGGACACGCGTCAAAAAATCAATTTAACGAAAAAAAAAAAAATAATTCTTAGAGCAATATTGACGGCGCGAGACAGAATTTAGTCGGCAGTCACCTTTCCCCGAACACGGGCTAAACCACGCACAGCCAAGCGTGGGTGGGTGGGTGAACCCCCATGGCTAGAATTCATAGTGACGCCACTCACCAAACACTTACTAAGCAGGTGCCCCCTGCATGTGGGTATGGGGGCCCACGTGGCTGGGGTCCGTGGTGACGCCAAGCACCAAGCGCCAAAGACCTAAGGTGTAGGCGCCCCCTGCAGAGACCTGCAGGAAGAGAACATTGCAATACTTTAGTATGCCTCTAACAAAATTACCGTAATATCCAGAGTCTTCACCCACCCCCCCTGCCACATTAAGTTTATAAAAAAAAGTGGGGTGGGCGGGCGGGTAAGGACAAAAAGTTTAGAAAAAGCTAAAAAAAAATGTCCATTTTTCTCGATGTATCTAGCGCAGCTGCACAAGAGATATATTAAACTCAAAACTCGAATTAGTTTCATTGTTTTATGCGAGAAATGTTCATGAAAGAATGCTTTACTATCACAAAGTTCATTGCTTGTATGACAGAAGAACACCACCGATCGGAATACAGCACAAACATTTGTTCAGTTAAAGCCTGTCTCTAACACCGCCGCAAGTTGTCTTCGTTTGTAAAAAAAAAAGTCAACAAGAAAATAGAAATTAAACCAGGCACAACACGCGAGCGAAAGAAGAGACGAAGAGCGATGCTGGGGAAGCGGGAAAACCAGCAATCGCGTTGGCAAATACTTTGGAATTGGGCTAAGTTGGGTGCCTTGTCAGTTGCGAGGAGCAGGCTCTTGCGCAACTTTCTTGTTTGGTGCATACATGCATGAGTCCGTGCACGGCGTGCAACCAATGCAGGATGATGCGCGTCGCTGCGTGGCGTGGCCGGCAACACAAACACGAAGCTTGAAATGGGACGCTTTACAAACGTCTGTGTGCGGCATTACAGCAAATCTTCATTTACCTGTTTGATTTCTTTAAACCATTGCCCAACCTTACCAACTGCGGTCGCAACGTTCCGAAAAAAGCGGGTTCGCGGTGACCTTACTTCAGTGGAGACAGACTTCATTCAACCTTACACCCCGCGGTTACATTCCAGGATATGGGGCATTCACTGACATTGCGATCCCGAATCGGTTAAGCTTGTATTGATCTTTGCTGTTTTGTTCCGCTTGTTGCTCGCCACCTTGTCTTCTCTTTTGGGCTATGGCTGGGATACAGGATCGGCCAAAAATCTGACTCCTCCAAAAGCTCGCCACGCCTCGAAGGTGAGACGTCATAGCGATGTCGAGCGGCCATTGGCAGTGTCCGCGGTTCTTCCTGCAGGTGATTGACCGGCCATGGTGAGGTTTCAGCAAAATATAGCTCTAGAAGCGAGGAACGTGCGCAACCTTTTTCAGTCGTGTTCACACATGGCATCTTCTCTACAAATCCAGAGTCGCCGCAACTTTTTTCGGTCGTGTTCACACATGGCATCTGTTTCGACAAAGGAAGTGTCTAGAGTTCCGTCCAGACGAAACGATAGTCGCCACTAAAGTTCCGTCTATGTTAGGTCTCGTATATACAAATGGTGAAAGCTGGTTTCTGAAGTAGTGGTGTAGTGTAGCGGAAAGGTGTCTGCTTTACACGCAGCGGGCCCGGGTTCAAACCGCAATGGGACACCCAATTTTTTTTTTTTTTTTTTCAATATTTTGAATTTTTTTTTTTTTACAATTATTATTGAAAAAAATGAATGCATGTTGTCGACGAAACCTCGCTGAACTTAATGGTATTAGACTCCCTTTCCGGAGGTGCAATGGGGCATTGGGGAGGAGATTGAACAATGGCACTGGCTAGCGGCCGCCGTCAGAACTATTCTGCGGGAATAACATTCCCGCTGCTAGTATTCGTTCAGCCATGGAGGACGAGGACTTGAGGCTCGTGAAAGGTATGTGGATAATATATATCTGCTCGAAAAGCATCTGAGTAGGGGTAGCATAGTTCCTGATTGTCTCACCTTGCTTTAAATGTCGCCGCATTCTCTTTGGAAGCAAAAACCAACCCACGTGTAGACGCTCGCGATCGGCCGCGTCACTCCGGCTGCGCACGCCAGGTCGTACGTGACTGACGCGGTGTGGCGATGTTTGTGCGCTTCCTAGGTTGAAGAAACCGTATTCACGAAACACACACATTGCTTTTAAGTGTCCTTGTCCCTTGCAACGATCACCAGCCACATCGGCGATAGCAAGAAGTGCCTCATTGAAGGCGAGAACGTGCTGAAATGTGATCATGTAATCGAGCGCAGCGTCACCCCGGGGAAATTTTTACCAAAACATCAACCAAAATAGTCATTACATTAAGTTTTTCTTGAAATTGCAAAATAAAAAACACACTGGTGAACATTATAGCGTAGAATGTTGCTAATTTTGTATATTGGCGTTAAACGTTACAAGTTGCCTTTTTCAGTTTAATTTATCGGTTATTCAACGATGCATGGTTCACGATTAAATATCAACGAGTTCTACACGACGAGGACTTGGTGAAACACCCATTTGCATTGCTCAATCGAAATTATAGGAATCGCAAAATGATTCACGCAGTTGCGTAAACATCACAATATCGAACTGATACTTGTACCATTCCGCCTGCGGGGCGCTAAAGATATGAAAGACTCATCGGACGGAGGTGCCGGTGCTCCATGGCCGAGCCGGAGAAGCCGTCTTCCCGAGTGAACCCTGTCTGGTTTACCCGGTGGCGAAAGGAAAGACAACCGTCCTGTTCGAGTGTTGGCAAACGTCTGACCAAGCGCTGGCCTCGAGGCCGCCAGCGCGTGGCACCTTCTTTTATTACAGAACTGATGTCCGTTGTTATGCCATCTTTGACAAACTAAAAAGACAAACAAATGTAAATACTACAATACTGCTACCTAATATGTCCCAGTGTAAAAGCTAGCCTGGAATAAAATAGTAATCAAATGATAGCAGTACCTCTCGGTGGCTTCGGAAGCCTCACAACCCAGTCGTGTGATCCCTTCGGAAGATTCTCCGACGGAACGGCGTTGCGTATCAAGAACCTCCTCGTGTGCACTGTTATGAAATAAGGTGGGGATATTTTGCCGGCAGCCGGCACAACCACTCAAAAAAAATAAAAAATTGCCGGGAGCTTAGGACGGCAATGATTATTCTAAAAAATAAATAAATAAAACTCGTCAAACGTTTCACGAAAAAAAAAAAAAAAAGTTTGCCTTCTTTGATTTGAAACTGGGACCCACGGCACGTGTAACAGACACCTTTCCGCTGAGCTACTCACACAACTAGAAGTTCCCGTTTTAACTATTCCTTTTACACGAAACCCAATGGAAAGAACTACCGGCAATTTTTTTTTTGCTGTTTGTTGTGCCGGTTGCCGGCAGAATATCTACTACCTATAAAATACAATGTACAGTTTGAACGGATGCTAATGCGTGATTTACATGCATACATGACTCGTCTATTAGCTATAGTTTGCTTGGAAGGCATCGCTTGAAAAGTGACGACCACACGCCACGTCGTACGCAGTCAACTTCTTCCCTACTCTTACTTATCCAATGCGATTTGAGTTTTTTTTTCGATAGGAAAGCGATGAAAACTGATTCCAGGCTCGAAAGCATGCGCTGAGCTCTGCGGTACGCAATAAGAGCGTACTATATTCTAACCAACCTGCAGGGAACGCGGCAACAACACGGCAGCCTACTGGAACACCGGAGTTGTTTTCCACGCAGGTGGTATTTGTTATGGTGAACGCAGCGCCCCCTATAGTTCGATCTCCTCGCCAATAGCGGGTTTCGGTTGCTGGCTGGACACCGCGAAGCAGCGTGTACAGAGGGCTAAGTGGGTTAATAGGTTTGTCATTAGCAGCCGCATACTGTCGCCGCGAAGCGGCGTGAACGCAGGCGGGCGGGGCGGGGGGCGGGGGGGGGGGTTAACGAGATCCCCAGTGATACACGCGCCGTCCGAAAAGGGTGAACCAAATGGCACGAGCTCTCCGCATTCCAGACGGAACTCTAGTGGCGACTATCGTTCCGTCTGGACGGAACGCTAGCCACACCGCTCTACAAATCCAGTTTCGCGACACAAGATTCGCCAACGCGCACCAGTGATACACACGTGACGAAACGTCCCTACAGCGCGCCATTCGCGTAACGAGTGCCGATGAAACGTTCGTGTCGACGGAACGCGTGTCCATGAGATGTCCACGAAACGTAATTCTACGGAACGAGTTTCGACGGAACGATAGGAACCCGACACAAATGGCGCGAAACAAGGCAGCATGCGAGCCCTTTGTCGCTGATAACTTACACGAGGCTCGCGGAACTTTCGGTGTCATTTGCACGACTGTGGATGGAAGGCAGCACGCGGTGTGTCACGAACAACTCCAACTAGCCACCACACGAAGGGTTAGAAATAAGCACGAACAGCTGAACGTCGACAAAAACTGACATACTGGGGTATCAAACTTTCAAAACCAAGCCGGCGACAAAATCAGAGATCAGTGTTGAAATTTGAAAATAGTTGAAAAGACATCACGAAATGAATGGATAAATAAATCGATCTCTGATAAATTTTAATAGCTATACTTTTTGTAAAGGGAGGTAGCTTGCGCCACCTAGCGTACGCTGACATATCTAAAAAGGCGAATCATGGCTTCCGAGATCTCGAAGCGCGCGAACGGTGAAGCCACCGGGCTTCACTCGCTTGGGATACGATTTGCCGTTTTTGCTAGCCTTTGCTGCGGTTTTCCAGCGTGCTGACGACACGTTTTCTACTCGTTCGTCGTCATTCGCCGAAGAAGTTTTTTGAAGACTCTGTGTATTGTTGAGACTTGCCGTTGTGAACACGTGGAAAATTTTACGAAAGTGCAGTGTCGCAGGAAAAAGGCACAACGCGTCGAAAGGAAGGGCTGGCGGCGTGTTCAAAGCATCCTTGGCACGCCGAAGTGCCGTGTCTCTGTGCCTTCGCACGCTTGGATACCGACCAAGAACCGACGCCGTGTGTATGTGTTCAGCGAGTGCAATGTGCGTGAAGCTGTTCGTGCCTCTGGATCAGCGTCTTTTCCTCTCGCGGTTTAGGAACGAGCTTAATCCAGCGTCCACTAGCGACGGAAGATGGGGGGAAGGTACGTCTTTTTTTCGTCCTTAGACGATTTCCACAATACCGTGCACAACAGCTCCTCATCACTGATCAGTGCTGGCTTATTATCAACCTACTTAATTGCACTTGACGTTTGAGCGCGGCTCGCCTAATTGTAATTGGTCAACAGATTGCACACGACCATATCGGCCGCGCTTCAAAGATTTTCATTCTCGCCGTCTTGTACTTTTGCTTTCGAAAACCCCCCTGGCTCCACAACGTTGCCCTATTCGTGCTCCCACGGAATCTATTAGAGTAGATTTGGGACATAGCCATGGTTAATATAGTACATAAGAACACGTACAGATCTCCCCCTTTTATTGATAGCAACTCACCGGAACAGCTGGACGATCCAGAACTCCGTGGCCGATATATATAAATGATCTAAAGGCATCTACGCGCGACACACGTTCAGAACTTTGGCGCGGCGTCAATTCTTGACCGGTATCCAAGCGTGCGAAGGCACAAAGATGCATCGCTCGGCGTGCCAAGGAAGCTTTGATCACGTTTTCGACGAGTTGTACCTTTTGATACGGCTTCACGCACATTGCACTCGCTAAACACATTCACACGGCGTCGGTTCTTGGTCGGTATCCAAGCGCGCGAAGGCACAGAGACACGGCACTTCGGCGTGCCAAGGATGCTTTGAACACGCCGCCAGCCCTTCCTTTCGACGCGTTGTGCCTTTTTCCTGCGACACTGCACTTTCGTAAACTTTTCCACGTGTTCACAACGGCAAGTCTCAACAATACACAGAGTCTTCAAAAAACTTCTTCGGCGAATGACGACGAACGAGTAGAAAACGTGTCGTCAGCACGCTGGAAAACCGCAGCAAAGGCTAGCGAAAACGGCAAATCGTATCCCAAGCGAGTGAGGCCCGGTGGCTTCACTAGCGGGAGCGGCAAGCGCGATCCAGTGTCATTGAGATCAGTGCGCGAACGCTTCTCCGGCCGGGACCGGGAGACGGCGTCTCTCCGCGGGGAGGCGCTCCCACCCATGACGTCATTTCCGATGCCCTTCAGAGAAAAGGGAAAGAAGGAGCTCCCCTCTTATTCTTCTTATCAGGATCCTCCTTTGCGCCTCCCGGATTTGCACAGGCGTCGCTATTCTCCTCCCAGAAGATTATAGAAGATTACCCTGTCACTTGAAATTCTTACAAAAGCAGCTTCCCTTTCCACCTTTTACTTGGTGTTCAAAAGTATGCGATGTGACGTCAGTACAAGGCATGGCGCGAGGCAGAAGAGTTCAAGAAAAAGTCTTGTTACGTTGAGTTACTGCAACTTCTACTTACAAAGTTCAGGGCGCTGCCATCTTGCCTGTCTGGGGTGCGCTTGGACCAGTCATAATCCGATTACGAAGCCTTGCTAAGGCGTCGTAATCGGCTTATGGCCGCTCCCGAGAGCGCACCCCACTGAGGAGGATGGCGGCGCCCTGAGACCGGACTTGCAAACGTGTATTAGGGTAGAATGGCGAACAGATGCTCTGGGGACGTAGATAGACAAGTTGTGATGCTTATTGAATTATTTTATTTGAGATATTCATCTGGACATGTTGCGGCTAGCGCTACAAGCGCGCCTTTTGGTATATTTGACTGCAACATGTAACACGTATACAACTCGAGAAAAATATATTAGCTCCGTGGATAAACAATTTGGATTCCCCATAAAAAAAAAAACAATCATGCCGCACTTCTTTTTTTTTTTTTTTTTTTTTTTTGCACTTTGCTTGGTTTAGTTTTTTTTTAGCCTGAGCACGAGGTTTGATTCTATGTAGGGCAGTCCATGCTGTCCTTCTTTTGATACTTTTATATTTATTACGCAATTTTTGCGGGTCGTGTTGCGGTGCTTGTTTCTGCTAGAGGTACCAGTAAACTTTGTGCATGAACACACAGCGCTTCAATGTGCCTTAAATGGTAATAGCGCTATTCAAATGTATGTCGTGTCTACAAGCACGTTCCTGACATTTAGCCATCGAGTAAACGCAAAAATCAACCTTACGGCTCTTCGACTCTCAAAGGGCAAATATAAATTCGTCTACAAGATAAAACGCAACGAAGCGTGCGTCTACGGTTTTGGCATTCGACGAGAGCCAATGTTTGGCCTGAATCTCCATCTTTTCTGCTCACAGAACAACAACCACTCACGTTCATTTAAATGTTTTTAAACAATTAGTGGTACTGAATTCATTCACGGTGTAATTACAAAGAAACTATCGCCAATGCAATAATAATATAAATAATAATTATTATTATTATCTGCAATGATCTGCTCAGAGAGTGACACAATCCATAACTCTAAAATTACCCAGAAAAATGATGTCACGCGACTAGTCGCGTAGACACGTGATATCATAACGTCATGTTACACCTTGATGTCATGCGAGATTGCGACGTCACAATACATTCTGAAGTCACGTGACTTTGACATCACGATGTCAAGTGACAAAGCGGAGAGACCATAGCAGCTATCCCTGTAACAACGCACAACCCGTCAAATTAGATTTGTAGAAAGCTGTTTAGAAGGATGAAGGAAAAGCCGCTCGGCAGTCTCAACAAAACAATCTATTCTTTCTTCCTCACGACCCCCACCCTCCTACCCATATCGGCAGATCTCCTTTCCGTATCGCGTGTTGCCAGAGTGGGCTATATATAGCCAAATTGGGCTACAGTTTTTTTTTAGTTGGCGTCAAAATTTTGTGGTTTGCTATGTGGATTTTGGGCTATTTCTAAGAATGCGGCGAACCTTTGTCGAACCTCAGGTTCGACGCCGATCTTTAACGTTCGGCTAGTTAATTTTCGAACTTTTAATCAGTTTCGGGGGAAAAAAATTGTTTCTCTTTTGGCTAGTCGAGCGGAGAGAGAGGAAGCAGAAAGGCTTCAAACTTATGCAAACTTTGGGGTTTTCACATTACGCGGTGAAGCAATGCTTGCAGAGTTCATGCGGTCTCCCTACAGCGCAGTGGAGCAAACCAAACACATTGCACTATTACCACAGGCCCGGTAGCGCGCCTTCAACCCGGACGCATATGGTTCTGCCCGGACGTAGACTGAACTCTCCAAATGCTGCTTTGGTGCCCATTGCGAGAATCCTTAGGCACCCAGGTTTGTAAAAATGAGAAGTCCGCAGTTTCACCGCTAAACAATTTACTACCTCCCCTTCCAGTCGTTGCCCACCCCAAGAAAGGACAACACAGTCAGAAATAGCGTGAACATGAATGGGTCACACTAATATCCTTCACAAAGAAAAGGAGACGGGGAGATATTAATAAGGGTCTGGGACACCCAGTGTTATGACTGTTCTGCTTCTGTATTTTGTTCTTTTATCGTATGATCATATCTCCCGGGCTTCAAAATAAAGCTGTCTTTGTGTGTTTTGTACTTCTGAAAACCTACGAAGGAAGGGCCAGTTTTGTACGGATATTCATCCTTCCGAAGCTTTTCTTGAAAAATTCACAAGTAAAATAATGTACACAAGAGGTGGTGCATCTGAGGGTTGAAACAGAGATTGTAACATATATTGTATGAGCGTGAGAAACTGTCAATATAATGCTTAAAATTCATTGTTTTAATCTTGGCTATTTTGGGCTATATTTTTTTTTCACGGCCCTGGCTATATTTGGGCTATACCTCCCAGACGTTTGGCGGTTTTTTGGTGGGACCAGCGCGTGTGTTTAGAGTTTTAGAACATACCTTAATTTCAATCCATATCCAGAAGCTTCCTCAGACAAAACAGTCCGGAAAGCCCGGGTGAACGCAAGATGAAGCACGACGACGCGACTGACACCACCCACCCGCGATGCCTACGACTAGAGGTCTGCACGGCCCGGTAAACATCTCCGAGAGCCCGCCCGGACCGGCCCGAAGCTAATTTTCATGGGGCCCAGTATGAATAGCTCACAAATGGCGCGGTATGGCAGCTCGCTTGCCACTGCTACACATAAGGTGATTACGGTACCCAATAGTGAATACTGTAAGCAATTTTTTTTTGCTGCTATTATTAGTTGGACCGATCTGCAGGCCTAGGCAGCTTGTTAAGAAAATCACCCCGACCTTCTTTTTCTGCGACCAAACCCGCGCGGAAAGGACGAAAAAACAAAAATGACAAGCAGCAGTAAACAAAACCACGTGTCACAGTTGAAAGGAAGAGATGCGTCGCGACGGGTGCGGACAAAAGGACAAAAATCTAGATTGACCGCTCTCGCTGCGCACAACCGAAAAAAAAAATGTGTGTGTTTTTTTGCGGTGGTCTGCGAGAAATTGTTTAGGAAAAGTGCCCCCCCAGGGGAACCTCTTCACCCATATTGGGGTGCAAGCACTCATACGTACAGATGGTTTACGCCGGCGAAGGTGCGCATTGTGTAGGCGTGTGTGCGTGCGTGGTGGTAC